AGAAGTCAATTTCTGATGAAGGTAACATTTAAATTAGAAGAGAAAGGCGAGAGGAAAATTAACGGATCACATGGGGGAACAATAAAGTGGGAACCCTATTGCATTCCTTAAGTCAAAATAAATTCCAAATGGATAACGGATTTATATATTAAAAATATAAAATGCTGGAGAAAAGAATAGGTGTTTGTTTATAACATTATGATAGAAAATGCAGCACACCAAACCCAGGACCCCTCAGTCGATTATGTTAACATTTAAAACTTCTGAATGGTAACATACTATAAACCAAGGTAAAAAACAAACAAACCAGGAACAAGTACGACAGGCAGAAGAGCTCATTTCCTCAATCCTCAAAGACTTAAAACAATCCACAACAAATAAGTAAAGAATATAAATCAGCAGTTTAGAGAGAAATACAAATGGCTTATGAAAGTCTCAAATTCACTCATAATTAGAGAAATGACAACTAAAGCAGTAAGATATCTTCTTAGTTTCTCCTATTAGAGTGGCAAAGATCAGCAAGTTTGATAAGACCTAGTGCCAGGGAGGGTGTTGGAAAACAGGCATGCTCAGATACTACCAGTTGAGTGAAATTGGTGCAACTTTTGGGAGGGTGATTTGGCAATATCTGTTAAAATCCTTTGACCCAGAATTCAACAGCTCGGATTTTTAATCCACGGATCTACACTCAAATGTCCTCCTGTTTAGCTGAACAAGAATGTTCAAGAATGTGCCCGAAGACGGTCCCTTTTCCAGGGTTTTGTTCTCTGAGGCCTTATTAGTTCAGTGGGTTTCAAACTTTGATGTGCACCAGAATCAATGGAGGGCTTGTTTCTGATTCAGTGGGTCTGCATTCAGTGGGATCCAAGAATCTGCATTTCTAACAAGTTCTCCAGTGATACTGATGCTGTTGGTCTGAGAGCCACGCCTTTAAGGACTAGTGTGGGTGGAGGGATGAAGGCCTGGAGAAGTAAGTTCCTTTGAGGGGAAGGAGGAAGAGGCAAGGTGGAGAGGAAACAGACTCTCCCCAGGACTGGAGGGGTAGGGTTGTTTAGAGAAGGTTGTCTGAATACCCTAAGGAGATAGGACCTTAGTCCCTGTTCCCAGCCTCACTGAAGACTCCTCCCATCCTTCCCTACAACCAAGGGAGCCACCACCTACTCTGGGTGAATCCATAGGCTTGGATAAGGGACACATTAGCCATGAGCAGACAACATGGATGGAAAATCAGAGAGCCAGGCCTCCCTGGCCAGAGAAAGTCATCTCCATTTGTGAGACAAGCCTTGGCGGTGGTGGGGGTGGGGCAGCACAGGGGACAGTGTCCCTGCTGTCTAAGGTTGAAGTTCTGGGGACTCAATTGCTTTGATTTGATTTTGAAAAATAACATCTTTTTGCCCTGGCTGGTTTGGCTCAGCGGTTACAGCGTCGGCCTGTGGTCCAGAGAGACCCGGGTTAGGTTCCCGCTAAGGGCACGTACCTTGGTTGCAGTTTGTCCCCGGCCCTGGTTGGGTCATGTGGGTGTCAGCCACTCGATGTGTCCCTTTCATGTCGATGTTTCTCTCTCTTTTTCTCTCTTCCTCTTTCTCCCTCCCACTCTGTCTGAACAAAAAATGGAAAAATGTCCTCGGGTGAGGATTAAAAAAAGAAAAGAAAAATAACATCTTTTCAATAAATGGTGCTGGGAAAACTGGATATTTACCTGCAAAAGAATAAAGTTGGACTCTGACCTTATACCACATACAGAAATTAACTCTTAAATAAAAGACCTAAGTATAAGAGCTAAAACTATAAAACTCTTAGATGCAAAATAACGTGAAGCTCCTCGCAACCTAAGAAGCATGGTGGAATAAAATTCTTACTCGTTCCACTAATTTGGATGGAGAGAAACCTAAACGGTTGAACCTGACCTATGAGCCCCAGGTATTCCTCATTGGTCAGGAGGCAGACTTACTGGTGGAAGGCTACAAACAAGGGCATTGGTTGTCATTCCCTTCCCCTCCCCTTATTAAGGCAAAACTTACCCAGAGTGAATAAACCTGAAGTATACAACTTGACTTTTTACATATGTACATACTTATCCAAACACTGCCCAGATCGAAATACAAACCATCTCCAGGGCCCAGAAGGTTGTTTTATGGCCCTTCCCAGTCAATACTCCCTAAAGTAATGTTATCTATCACTGTGCTTTAGTTCTGCCTGTTTTTAAACTTCATATAAATAACTGGAATCACAGTTACTCCTATTTTGTGGTTGACTTCTTTTACTCAATATAATGTTTTCAAGATTCATCTCTGTCATTGTATGAGGCAGAAATGGTTTTTCTTTTTCAGTGCTATGTAATATTCCATTGTATGATAAATCACAAATTGTTTCCACTTATGGGTTGGGCATTTATGTTGTTTATAGTTTAAAGCTGTTATAACATTCTTGTGTCTTTTGGTGGACATGAACACCTTTTATTCTCTTGGGTATATACTGAGGAAAAGAATTACAAGGTCATAGAGTTTACCTATGTTTGGCCTAGGTAGATACTGCCCAATTATTGTCCAAACTGTATCAATTCACCCTCCCACCAAAAATATATAATAAATCTGGTTAATTCTCAATCTTGTTACATTTGCTACTTTATAAAAAATTTGTTCTTTTAATTTTAGTCTTTCTGATGGGAGCTCATCATTCTTTTTTAATTTTTAAAAATATTTAAAGCTAGTAATTTTTTATTTCCCTAAAACAGGTGGTCCATGGATGCTAAATGTTTGAGAAACTTGTTAGACTCTCCTAAGTAGTCAGCAATTCCCCGAGGATGTGTGGGTGTGTTTCTGCCTATGTATGTGCCATAGTCATAGATGGACGCTGCTCAAGACCCCACCCTCCTTGCCTTGGAACAGACCCTTCATTTCCCCACCAACAGGAAGAAGTTACTTGGGATCCCAGAGGGAGATGTTTTCCATCACCAGCAACATCTGGGCAACATCTGGCAAGCCCATCCCAGGATGGGGAGATGCTTTTCTGGAGAAAACACATCACTTATTTGATTCTTTTTATTCTCCTAAATTTGCCCTTATTCTCTCTTTCTCTTCCTGTCCCTAAAACCCATCACCCATTGGGGTCCCTGCTCTAAGCCCCATTCCAGCCCTTGCCAACTCTCTGCCCTGGTGTCTGTTGGGTCCGGTTTCCCCAATACACAGCCCAGCAGGATGCAAACCTAGGCAGCCTGAGACCCTCATGAACTCGAGTGCTGCACCTGGCCCAGTTCCCTGGTCAGCAGGCAGGGTCTTCTCACTCAAGGAATGTCGAAGCTGGTGGGGCTCTCTGGTCTAGTGCTCCCCATTTTACGAGTTGGGAGAGAGAGAGAGGGAGAGAGAGAGAGAACTCCACTCTAGGTCACAGAGACTCCCCTTCTCCAGGGGACCTGGCCAGAGGATTAGAGACAGGAAGGAGGCAGTGAAAAAAATTTCCTTGGCACCAGCGAGGTTTGGAACTAGCAGCCACAGGGACAGCGCAGCTGAGTGTCTGATGGGGATGGTGGTGGGTATCACAGCCCCAAGGGCTGAGTCACCTCCAGCAACTGACACCCAGATCTATTGCCTTTAAACTCCCTCCTGAACTGTCTCAGCTCCGCCATGGCTTCAATGTACCAGCCTTATGCTGATGACCCTTCCATCTCCACTTCCAGGCCTGCCCTTGCCTTGAGCCTCACCTCCCTGTACACCTTTACTAAGTACGTTTAATTCACTTAACAACTTCTTGCCTGTGAGCAGAAAACACACCCAAGGACATTATCAAGGGTGTGGGGTGGGAGTGTAAAGATAAGGCTGGAAAAAAGTGAGATATAGAACAGAATACCTCACGTCTAAATTAAAACTATGTGCACCTGTATCGACATTACAAGCACAGTGAACAAATAAAAAGAAAGGAACACAAATTAAAGACATTAAAATGGAAGAGTAGGGAAGGGGGTTGGGGTGAGGTTTGGGGGAGTATGAGGAGAGAGCAGTGAGGTTGCAAAGGTGGGCAAGGGCCAGATTATCCCAGTTCCATAGGCCCTAGGGAGTCCGTTGGGCCTTCAACCTGAGGGTTCTGAGAAGTCACTGGAAGCTTCGCTCCAGCTGTCCAGACACCTGGTGCAGGTCCCCAGGTCCACACACTCAAGGCACCCAGGAAGGACAGGGACTGTAGCTTCCCCCACCTGCTCTTCTCCCAGTATTCTTCCCTGGGAAAGCAAAGGACAAGCCGGTCCCTTATACATATGTACGTACACCTGTGGCTGATGAGGGGCCTTCGCCATCATCTCCAGCGGAGCCCTCTCCAGGCGGCTCAGGTCACCCCACCCCCACCTGGAGGGAGGTAAAGGAATACTGAGGGCTGGGCTAGTCACTGACAACTTTCATCTAGGACGGTCAAAGAACCCAGAATGCAGCGGGAGCAGGGCTGGGAGGGGGAGGGTCAAGCTCCCACGAAGGCTCCCTGGAGGAGGCGTTGGAAGCTGGGGCCTTAAGGCGACGGGTTCTGGTAGCAGCGGGGCAGCAGAGGGGCGTTCCAGGAGAGGAGCGGCCGCAGCCAAGGTGCGAGGGGCGACACGCTCAGGGGCGCGTGGTGGGCAGGGTGGCATCTGCGGTTGGAAAGGGGGCGCAGGGCGGGCTCCCGGGCCAGGACGCGCTGCCGGGCGTGCGCACGGTGCCTGCAGGAGTGCGGGCGAGCTGGCGGGCAGGCAGGCAGCGAGGCCTGGCGGGAGCCGGGAGGCCGGCGGCCGCAGCGCCGGGCCGGGCGGGGGAGGGGGCGGTGCCTCCGGGCGGGGCGGGGCGGCGGGAGGCCTGGCCGGCGGCCGGGCGTGCGTCAGCGCGGCCAGCCCCGGAGTTTTCCACTGACGAGGGCGGAGCGGCGGGCGGGGCCGTGCAGACAGTCTCCCGCCGCCGCCGCCGCTGCCGGACTCGCAGAGCCCGGAGGCTGGGCCGACGGCTGCCGGCCGAGCGCGCTCGGGGTCGCGGTGCGGAGGGCGTCCCGGCCTGGACGCGGTCACGTCGGGTACTTGGAGAGCGCCTGGCCGCCAGGTAAGCGCCGGGGGACTCTGGGCCGGACTGGACGGGGCTTTGGGGAGGGGGCGTCCCGCGCAGGTGGCGCTGCTCCTCCGGCCCCTGCCATTTGCCCCCTGACACCTCGAGCGGGCGCGGGGGCGAGGACAGCCCAGCCGGGCCCCGGACTGCGTGACACGGCCGGGGTCCGGAGCGGGGCGGCAGGGAGGGAGGCGCAGGTTTTCCGCTCCCCTCCCCCGCCCCGCCGCCGGCACCCCGAGAAGTCACAGCGCCCCGAGCTCCGGGCTGGCGGCGGCCGAGCTGAGGCTGCGCGCGGTGGCGGGGTGGCGGGGTGCGCGTGTCCGCGGGTGAGTTTCCTTCTGACCCAGTTGTCTGAGAACTTTTCAGAAGTTCCTCTCGTGGCCGGAGCAGGTGACATTTGTCGCTTTCTTTCTCGGGCTCCCCCCGGGGGCGGATGCCGGGGCTGCGGCGCGTGCCCGGCGCCCCTGGGAGGCGGGATCAGGGCGGGAGCCGAGGGATGGTCGAGGAGGAGGCTCGGTGACTCACGGACCCCGGGAGGGAGGGAGGGCCCGAGCAGGAGGGACTGTGTCGTACACTCACCTGTTTGTCAGTCGCCGTCACAGGCAGAGGCCACCACTGTGAGTCACGGGCGCAGGCACACTGGCCACCCTGGGGCACGCGTAGGCTGCCGCCCACGCGCTCCTTCCCCTTCCCCGGCACGTACTTCCTCCCGGTCCTCAGTTTCTCCCCCTCCGGGGGCTTTTCCACCCGCACGCCCCGTGGAGATGCCAGCTCCACGCAGCCGGCACACACTTAGTCACTCCTGCTCCCTGGCACAGTCACACACAGAGCCCACACTCCTGACACAGAGGGTCCCTCCGCGGCTCCACTGCCCACTCGACACCTCCGTTCAGATGTCCCACGGCCCGCTCCAGCGGAACTCCTCACTTCACCCCCAAAGCCTGGACAGCACTGCCCTCCCGGGCTCCGCACCCGAGAGCACCGAGTCCGTTCCCCTTTCTCCTGCGTCCTTGTCCTGTCATCTCTCGCTGAGCGCAGGCGGCGCGTTGGAACCGGTCACACCCCCTCCTGTCCCGGTGCTGAGCTATCTTTTTAAAATGCAAATCTGGTTTTGTCACTCCCTACTTAAACCCTGCTGTGGCTTCCTATGCCCTGGGGCTGAAGCTGCCCTGCTTGCCCTTGCTCTGCCCCCCGCCGCCCCCCAGCTCCTTCCCACGCACTGCTCGGGCTCTCTCGGTCCTCGCTCTCGCTTCACCCCCTCCCTGGAACTCCCTCTGTCCTCTCCTCGGAGAGACCTGTCTTCATCGCCAGCTGTACCCCTCCTGCCCACCCCTGGACCCTCCATCACCGCACACGACAGGGCTTGTACACTGGTTACTCTCCTGCCCACCAAACTCAAAGCTTCAAGAGGCAGCACTACTGTATGTCCTGCTCCCTCTGTGCCAAGCGCCTGAACAGTGCTTAGCAGGTCGTTGTCACAGGAGCTCAATACATATTTGTTGAATGAATGAAAGAGTGAAGGAGGCCTGGCTGGGGCGGAGGAAGCAGTTGCTGTCAGGTGCAGTTTCCCTGCTGCAGAAGCAATTGCCTCACGGAGCCAGCAAACATTTGGCACCTACCCAGTGCCAGGCCCTGGAGGCCAGGGCTGAGGAACTGTCCCCTCCCCCCTGATCACTTTCAGAGAGGTGGGGGAGGGGTGTGCCAAGGCTTCCTGTTTGCCCTCTCTGGGCTGCCTGGGCTGTTTCTCCAGCCAATGCCAGTGGGGGCCTGAGGTACCCAGAGGTGCCCTCTCCTTCTCCCAGGAAGTAGTTCTTGTGGGCCTGGGGTCATGTGACCCTAGGTATTCTGGGGAAACTGGCCTGCCCTAGGCCAGGGGCTCTGAGGTTAAAAGACACATTTTTTAGATTCTTGGAGCTGGATGGAGGCTGCTGAAGGTGCCCTCTCCCCAATACTAGCCTGGGGTGGGCGCTGGGGCATTGGGACTGCTGAGGTACAGAGAAGTTGGTGTGGCTTTTCAGAGGGCCTGAGATTGGCTTCCCGCCAACCACCACCCCTAAATAGCCTTTGTGTGGTGCCCAGGGTGAGGTGGCCATCCCTGGAGTCACACAGTATGGCCTGAGTGTGTAGATAGTTGTGGTGAGTAGGGTGGGGAGGTGTGCCCCCTCCCCCCCCCTAAGTTGTCAGCTCCTGTGTGTGGTGACAGGAAAGCGGTCTGATTCTCGGCCCAGGCAGATCCCGGAAGAAGCCTGGCTCTCTTTGATTCAGGGCCTGTCTCCCGGGCTCCTGGGGGTGTGGTATTTCTGTCTGAGCCAGCTCCTGGGAATTGCTTTTCCTTCCTCCAGGACCCTAGGAGGGGGCTGTGCTCACCCTGGGAACAGTGCCATGGTTGGGATCTTGATTCCTGGGTAGCTGCTGGAGGCCCCTCCCCCCCCTGACTCACTGTCTGACACTTTTCTTGGACTCTTCCACTATCTTTCATTCCTTTTTCTGACTTGGCCTCTCCTTGGTTCTGGCTGAGTCTTTTTGTCTTATCTCCTGCTTCTGCCTCTCGCAGCCCCTGGATTCCCAGGTGGGACAGTGACTCTTCCCCCTCCCCCCACCCCAAAAGATCATCAGGGAGGAGATCATTTCTCATTTCAGTCCAGGCCTGCAGATCCTGCTGAGGTTCACAAAACCTGCAGTGCAGCCGTAGCTTCCCTGTACCCTTGTTTCTCAGTCTACAGCCTTGGAGCGGGCAGCCCCTCACCTTAAGCTCCCATTCTGTAGATATTCCTAGGCAGAAATACGGTATCTGGCTTAAACCTGCTTCCTTGACCTCTCCATTTGTTTACTGGTGGGGAACGGGGGGGCCTCCTGAGATACCAGCGTTGGCCCCTGCCTGCAGCCGGAGCTTTCTTCTCCCTCAGAGCCACCCTCTTCTGGCTGCCATTGTTCAAACCCTCTGCTGCAGGCTGGGAGAGGGGTGTGAGCCCACCCCCTTAAATTAACTGTGACAGGAGCATTAGATCACGCTGACCACCCTCCACCCCCCAGAACTCACGTGCTTAATCTTGTTTCTGTGTTTATACCTGATACAAAGCGCCCACCTGCCTACTACCTGTGATGGTTCCCAGGTGCCCTCCCTATGCCAGACTCTGTTCTAGGCATGGGCACACGGGAGGCCCTCGCCTGGTGTCAGGGAGATGGGCAGTACAGTGAGGCCATTGCCGTGGGGCGGTGAGGGCTGTGATGGGGGATCCCAGGGCCCGGAGAGTCATGTGGGCAGTGAGGAGGAGTGGAGGTTCCAGGGAGGCCCTCTTGGAGATGATTTCCAAAGGGGGGTGAGGCTGGGTTCCAGCTTGTGCAAAGGCCAAGAGGTGAGCAGGTCATGGCCGTGAGGGGCACCACAAATTCAGCTGGTGTGTAAAGTGAGAGGGGGGTGGGAGACTCTTCCAGGATGAGTCTGGAGGATGGGCAGCAGCTAGGCCTGCTGCGGCCTCTCGTGGAATTCTGGACTTGATCCTAGGGACAAGCTTCCTTAAGGGGAGCTCCGGAGGGATTCTAAACGTGGGGTGGCAGGTAGATAGGGGATTTAGTAAGATCACTCTGGCTGCAGGGTAGAGTGGCCACGGGGAGAGGACAGGAGCAGAGGCAGGGGACCTGGGAAGTAGCAGCGGAGGCAGAGATATAGGGCAGTAAACTTTTAAAATTGTCGGTGACATACATAACATGCATGAAGTATATAAATAAATCTTACGTGGTTCTAGGAGTCAAGCAGGACCAAATTAGGCTTTTGATGAAACCCTAAAATACATCATAAATTAAAATTCAAATAATATAAGTCCACACATAAATACATTTGTTCACAGAAGACATTTAAGATGCAGACATGAAAACATTTTGTTTGGAATTGAGCTATGACTCCAAGTTGTGTTTTGCCAGAGTTTTAGAATACATACTTGTTATGGTTTTAGACACCAGTGGAACAAATCTCAACCCGGATCAACATAGAACATTTCCAGACTGCTGCCCCACCCCCACCAAGATTCTCTCCTGGCTGTTCCGCCGCATCCCTCCCCTCCCCCAGTTACCACTAGTCTGACTCGTGTCATCACTGATTGGGCCTGCCTTTCCTTGAGCTTCATTCACACGCATTCTTGTGTCTGGCTTCTTTCGGCCAACATGGTATCGGTGAGAGGCATCCGTGTGTGTATCCAGGAGCTCGTTGTTTTTCACAGGATGATATTGTCACTAAGCACTGAGCACTAAGAACTTGACATGTATTGATTCGTGTAAGCCTCCCAACCCTGTGAGCTTTTCTGACAAAGGATTGGAGTGGTGAGGTTAAGGCACTTCAGGGTCACTGAGCTAATTAAGAGTTAGGCCAGGGTTCAAATGCAGGCAGCCTGGTTCTGGAGCCAAGGTTCTTAACCCTGTGCTGGGTGGCCTCCATGATACCCACTGAGTCTGCCTGGCCTCGAGCGGATTCAGTGAGCTAATGTGTGACTGGATGTGGATGGAGGGAGAGGGAGGAAGGAGTTGAGGATGACTGCAGGTTTCTGGCTTGAGTGACTGGGTGGGTGGCAGTGCTGTTACTAAGATAGGGAACACAGGAAGAGGAACAGATGGCTCCGGTGGGGGGGCGGGGAATAGAGACAAGGGGTTCGATTTGGGGCCTGCAGAATTTTATGTTTCTAGGGAACAGCCAAGCAGAAATACCAGGTGGGCATTTGGTTTTCGGGGGAGGGGTCTCAGGCTTGGGTGTGGGATTCGGGAGGCTTGCAGCACCCTGCAGACACATCTGGAGCTTGGAAAAGGATGGGTTCTCCTAGCAAGACTGTGGCGGGGACAGCACGCCTGGGTGTATTTGTCCGTGTGTGTCTGAGTGTTTCTGGTCTGCATGTGTGTATATGTGTGCATGCCTGGCTCTGGGTCATGAAGTTCCCTCATCTCCTGGGAGAACCTGCAGGTCAGCTGGGAGCTGGGTTGTTTTTGTTTGTGGTTTGACCCTGGGAGGGGGGTGCCAAGCCTGAGAACCTATCCGCTGAGAAGCCCCCGGAAACACCTGTGTGTCCTCTTTCCCTGGGGCCCAATGTGGAGAGTTTGCAAGGAGGCAGAACCGTCTTTCGGCTTCTCTTGTGCCTGCAGGGAGAGGCTGTCCCTGGGAAGAATTTTATCCAGTAAGTCTATCCAGTAAGTTGATTGACAGCACACCCTGTAGGTCTAGGATCCAGAGACTTTGTGGGAAGTTTGCAGAGGGAGAAAGGGGTGTTTTGAAAGGACACCTGAGGAGGGGAGATCACCAGCCTTCTGCTTGGTTTTTCCTGTTCTTTCTCATTTCCTGTGATGGCTATGGGGGAGGGGCTCCCAGCACTGGGGCCTCGGCAACGTTTCCCTTTCCTTCTGGTGACCTCCTGGGGGCCCAGCCCTGTGTGCCACCGGATGTGCAGAGACAAGGTAGCTGTGATCAGCCCTTAGGACTGAGTCCTTTGGGGATTCCCAAGCAGTGGAAGGGACTGTTTGCCTTGGTATTTAGGGGAGGAAACCCCAAGTCTCCTCCACTCCACTTGGATGGGGCTGTGGGAGTCTGGTTGCATTCCCACAGACGGCTGAGACCTTCACAGGGGCGATCCAAGTGGTGTGCCCTGGGGTGCTCCAAGTCAGCAAGCTACAGGCTGGAGAGAATGGGACATTGTCTTGGCAGGTCAGTTTCACTAGAAGAGTTGTTTGTGTGTTTTTGAAGGGTAAAATAATTTCCATGGGAAGTTAAGACCAAAGAGGAGATGTGAAAGAGACGTGAAGCCTAGGTGGTTCCAGGTCCCACTGTCATGACTGGAGGCAGGGGACTTCTGCAGACGGGGGTTTCTGAGGGAAAGTCTGAACCGGTCCTTCACAGGAGAGGAGGGACTTGGGAGAGTCCTGAGTCTGGGAATCAGGGCCAGCGGCACCGCCAGCCTGTTTCCCGGAGTGTCCTGGTTCGCCTGGCCCTGGAGCGAGGGCGCACAGCTGGTGTGTGCAGGGCAGTGTGCCTGTGGGTGTGCTTGGAGGGGAGGAGGAGGAGGAGGAAGCCAAGCCACCGCTGAGCCGACAGTCTCACACACACAAAGGCACACAGATGCGAGCCGTGTGAATCACCCAGCCAGTGAGTCAGCCCCCAGGATTCCTGTCGGGGGATGATCGAGGCTGGGCAGAGGTCTGTCGGTCCATCTGTCGGTCTGGTGTATGCACTAGTGTGTAGGTGGGTTGTAGGAAGGAGTGGGGAAGGTGCCTGGCAGTGTCCTGGAAGGGCTTTTGGACTTTTGAGTCTCCAAGCGCCGGCATGAGGGTTTGGGCCTCTCTGCTCTGTCTTGTGCAGAGAAGCCTCCTGGGAATGTACCCCCTGCACATAGAGCTCCCAGGGCTGGGGGGGGGAGGGCCTGGGACACCTTGAAGGGTAAGTGGGAGAGGTGATGATCACAGCTGAGCCCACCTCCTGGTCTCAGGCCTGTCACTGAGAGCTTTCTTCTTCTTCCCATTGCAGGCTGCCTGTGCCCGGCCTCCAGAGCACCCCCGTACCCACCATGACTGGGTTGCTGAAGAGGAAGTTTGACCAGTTGGAAGAGGATGACTCCTCATTCTGCTCATCCTCGTCGTCTTTGTCCTCCTCGGGCCACCACTCTGGCTCCTGCTCCCCAAGCTCTTCGGTCTCCCCAGCCTGGGACTTGGAAGAGGAGGGCCCATGGGATCAGATGCTTCTGCCTGACCGAAACGTCTGTGGCCCCCAAAGTTTCACCCGTGAGTTCCCACTCCCCTGGGAACCCCGCCACACCTTTTCTTTCTTTCTTTCTTTTTTTTTATCCTCACCCGAGGATATTTTTCCATTTTTTGTACAGATAGAGTGGGAGGGAGAGGGAGAGGGAGAGAGAGAGAGAGAGAGAGAGAGAGAAACATCGACGTGAAGGGACACATCGAGTGGCTGCCACCCGCACGACCAACCAGGGCCGGGGACAAACTGCAACCGAAGTACGTGCCCTTAGCAGGAACCGAACCCGGGTCTCTCCGGACCGCAGGCCGACACTCTAACCGCTGAGCCAAACTGGCCAGGGCCCGCCACACCTTTTCTTCCTTCCTAAAGATGAAATTGGGAGGCCCGTGGCAAAGCCATCCTGGCCTCTGGAGGTGGTGTCCCTGTGGCTTTAGCTCCCCATCCATCCGCTTCCTGGAATCCAGTGGTCACTTAGGAATGCCCGCGGTGCAGAGGCACTCGGCCCTGGCTGCATTCACCTTTGACCTTGGGACTCCCCTGCTTCAAAGTCGTGCCATTCAGAGCAGAGCTCCTGAGAGCAGCCCTCAGCCTTCCCGCCCCGGCTCCTCCCTTCTGTTCCAGTTTCGTTTCTCCAGCTCTCGCCCTGTGCTTCCAGCTGCTCTGCGAGTCCCACGCCCGCACTTCTCCGCGCGAGGCTGCCCAGCCGGTCCCGCGCCTGCCAGGACGCTGCCGGCGCTGCCTGAACGCGGTGGAAAGGTTTCCCCGGTTATTTTTCAGGCTGGCAGATTCTGGCTCCGAGCTGACAGGTGGCCCTGGAGCAGTTTCTGAACCTTGCTTTATATTCTCGCCCCCCCCCCCACCCCAAGGAGCCTTTTTAGACATTCTTTTCCTCATCACCCCCTCTGATACCTTATGACCACAGATAGGATGTTTATTTATGTACTATATGTATATGTGCATTACACATTAAAAAGTATGATTTTTAGCACATAGAATCTGACGGTACATTAACTGATGGGTTTATCCTGGAAAATACAAGGATGGCTTAATGTTATAAAATCTAGTCTCATAGTTTACCAACTGACTGTCAGAGGGGCAAAAATACAAGAGCTACTCTAGATGCTGAAAGAATGTTTGATAAAACGTAACGTTCCTTCTAGATAAGACTCTTGGTAGGACAGAAATAAGTGAATTCTACTTAAATGGTAAAAAATATGTTTCATCCCAAAAGCCGATTCTGAATAATGAGGAAATACTGGAAGCATTTCCAATAAGTCAGGAACAAGATGAGGACGCTGTTGTCCCCACTCAGCTTTGTTCGGGAAGTGCTGGCCAGTTCAGTTCGCAAAGAGAGTAATTCTATGCATTGCGCCAGGACAGGCAAAATTGCCATTAATGTCTCTAATATCATGTATAAAGGGCTCCTACAAGTCAATAAAAAAACTAGAAAACTGTACAAGGGCCCTGTAACTGGCTAAAAAAGATGGGAAAGGCCCTGGCCGGTTTGGCTCAGCGGTTAGCGTGTTGGCCTGCGGTCCCGAGAGACCCGGGTTCGGTTCCCACTAAGGGCATGTACCTCCGTTGCAGTTTGTCCCCCGCCCTGGTTGGTCGTGCGGGTGGCAACTACTCGATGTGTCCCTTTCACGTCGATGTTTCTCTCTCTCTCCTCTCTATCTGAACAAAACATCAAAAAAAAAAAAAAGGTCCTCGGGTGAGGATAAAAAAAAAGATGGGAAAGATGTTTAATCTTACAGATGCTCTCATTTTGGCTGGTAATAACAATAAGCCAGTGTTGGCATAGGGGTGGTGTTCATTTTTACCAACTCCAGTCCCAGCCAGGCTGGCTTCTAAATGTGAATCCATTTCCTTCTGGGGGTGTGAGGACAGAGGAGACGGTACGAGGGGAGGTCGTTCGGCAGCACCTTCCGGGGGTTGTGCTGTGCCTCACAGAGAACTCACGCCCTACCCCTCCGTCCCTCCAGCCCTGTCCATCCTGAAGCGGGCTCCCCGGAAGCGCCCAGGCCGCGTAGCCTTTGATGGCATCACTGTCTTCTACTTCCCTCGGTGCCAGGGCTTCACCAGTGTGCCCAGTCGTGGTGGCTGCACGCTGGGGATGGCCCCTCGCCACAGTGCCTGCCGCCGCTTCTCTTTGGCTGAGTTTGCACAGGAGCAAGCCCGGGCACGGCACGAGAGACTCCGCCTACGCTTGAAGGAGGAGAAGCTGGAGGTGCTTCGATGGAAGGTAGGGAGACCCCTCTAAGGCCCACAGTGGGGCAGCTCCTGAAGTCCTAGCCTCCAGGGGAGGGGCATCAGGGGCAGATGCTGGTTGGCTCATTATGTCTTTGGGAAAGAGGCCCGTGGGGCCAGTAATGGCTTGATCAGGATCTGTTGCCTGAGTATCCGCAGGGAGAATGGAGCGTGGACGGGCTCGGGTTTGCTGCAGGGGTTGGGGCATGGTGCCTGAAGTCGTCTGACCTCACTGGGGAGGAGGATGCGGAATTGGCGGGCACTGGGGGTCCGTGTATCTGGCTGGGGGAGGGCGTTTGTCATGAAATGGGCAATGGCATGAACAGGACGTCTTTCTGCAAATGCCCTGACAGTGTTCTGGGCTGTCCTGGTCCCTGTGGTCTCCACAGTGCCCAGCCCAGAGTAGCACGTGGGGAGCGTTTGCCGAGTGACTGATGGCTGTGGGGACCAAGACCACGTGTCTGCCGCTCACATCCCTCCTCTCCCGGAATGCAGCTTACAGAGGCTGGGGTACCTGAGACGGAGGCTGGCCTGCCACTGACGGTGGACGCCATTGACGACGCCTCCGTGGATGAGGAGCTGGCAGTGGCTGTGGCAGGTGGCCGGTTGGAGGAAATGACCGCCCTACAGCCCTACCCAGCCCGGAAGCGGAGGGCTCTGCTGCGTGCTGCTGGCGTGCGGAAGATCGATCGAGAGGAGAAACGGGAGCTGCAGGCTCTGCGCCAGTCCCGGGAGGATTGTGGCTGTCACTGCGACAGGGTCTGTGACCCCGAGACCTGCAGCTGCAGCCTGGCGGGCATCAAATGCCAGGTGTGGTGGCCGGGCTGGGCTGGGCCGGGCAGGGGAGCCTGGGCCTGGGGCTTCTCTGGGCTCCTCAAGCCCCTCACCTGTGCCTCTTCCTTCCCTGCAGATGGACCACACAGCGTTCCCCTGTGGCTGCTGCAAGGAGGGCTGTGAGAACCCCAAGGGCCGCGTGGAGTTCAATCAGGCGCGGGTTCAGACCCATTTCATCCACACGCTCACCCGCCTGCAGCTGGAGCAGGGGGCGGAGAGCCTCGGGGAGCTGGAGGCCCCTGCTCAGGGAGGCCCACCCAGCCCTGGTGGGCAGGTCCTGACCCCCACTTTCCCACTGGCCAAGCCCCCCGGGAGCAGTGAGCTGGGAGACCACAGCTGCAGCAGCGACATGACTGATTCCTCCACAGCATCAGGCACCAGCGAGCCCTCGGAAGGCCCTGCCCACCCCGCCCTGCCTGGCCCTGGCTTCCAGCCTAGTGTGGATGATGACAGCCTGGAGCGGATCCTGAGTTTCAGTGACTCTGACCTGGGTGGGGAGGAGGAGGAGGAGGAGGAAGGGGGTGTGGGGAACCTCGACAACCTCAGCTGCTTCCACCTAGCCGACATCTTCGGGACTGGTGACCCTGGTGGCCTGGCCGGCTGGACCCACTATTCCAGCTCCAGCCTCACGTCAGGCATTCTGGATGAGAATGCCAACCTGGATACCAGCTGCTTCCTAAACAGTGGCCTCGAAGGGTTGGGAGAGAGCAGCCTCCCAGGCACCTCGTTGCCGCCCAGCATGGATGCTGGCCAGAGCAGCTCAGTGGACCTCAGCTTGTCTTCCTGTGACTCCTTTGAGCTGCTCCAGGCCCTGCCAGACTACAGTCTGGGGCCTCACTACACCTCTCGGAAGGTGTCTGACAGCCTGGACAACCTTGAGGCCTTACCTGCCTTTTCCCCGCCTGGGGACACCAGCATCTGCTTCTTGGAGTCCATCATGGGTTTTTCTGAGCCGGCTGCCGAGGGCCTGGCTCCCTTCATGGACAGTCAGTTGTTCGAGGACACTGCCCCAGCGTCACTGGTGGAGCCTGTACCTGTGTGAGGACTAGGGTGCCTTTTCCCAGCCCCGAAAGCCCTGTTGCTGCTGTGTCATAATTTCGGGGCTCCCCGGGGTCTGTATGTGACCACCTCACATTGGCTGGCTTACCCAGTTGGGCACTCCTACTTCTCATGCAACACTCTGGATGGATTTATTATTTATTTTTGTAGCTTTCTGTGCTGAGGAGAGGGTAGGAGGGGCTCCCCCCTCAGCCACCAGCCCTGGTGCCCACCGTTTCTTCCACTCCCATGCGCATGCCTGGGAGAAGAGGGCATGGTGTTTCTTAGCCCATAGACAGTGAGACGGGGCTGGAAACATCTCTTCCGGCTTCTGCCACTCTGAGCCCTAGCCTCCCGGGTGGCTGAATCCTCTGGACTGTGAAGACTGTAATTTATTTCCATAATTTATTTGGAGACTAGGTGGTTTAGGCTTCTCATCCCTGGCTGGTAGGCAAGACTGAGGTCAGGGTGGGACACAGACCCCATGAGTCCCTTTTGCCTTGTAGTCCTGCAGCCCTCCCTGCCTGGTCTTAGGTGTGGACCAGATGTGGATTCAAGTCCTGTCTGCTGTGGCAGCTGCCTGGCTCTGCATGGCTGAGCAGGTGGAGGCTAGCCCAGGACAGTGTCTAGGCAGGGGAGGGACTGGGCTGCCCAACCATGACCAAAACCTGTCCCACTGAGTCCCCTCCACTTCCTGTCCTCTGCCCCGTCTCTCCCCTCCCCTCCCCTCCGAGGGCCATAGACTGGTCCCTGTCCATCAGTGTAGGAAGGAGAAGCAGGAAGCCTAGAGAGGGCAAGGGGCTTGCCTCAGGGCCCACAGCATGCCCCTGAAGACTGTCTCAGGGCTTTCTGGGCACTGCACTCCTGCCTGGCCACCTGCCTGTGCCCTTGGCCAGGGCAAGGCGTGGCACCTTATGGCTTTTATGCCTGTTTGCTGATGTTGAATTTTGCATCCTAATTTCTATATCGCCCCGGACTATTAGAACTATAATTTATTCATTTTTCTCTGTGTCTGTGCCAAGGAGCCCAGGCTCTGGGCCTGCCTTCTTACCCGGGAGGCCTGAGCAGCCTGCGTGCTTGTGGGAACACCTTATACCTGGACTTACAGGTGCCAATAAAAAGGCTCTATTTTTAATGGTGTGGTCTATGTGGGACGGCGGGGAGCACACGTACACCCTCCGGAGGCTGGGGAGGGGAGGGGAGACGGGCCCTACAGGGCAGTGTGGCTTCTGAGGCTGTGTGGGAGTGGGAGTGGGGGACACAGCAGGCCAGGCCACCTGGAGACAGGAAGCCAGCTAAGAAAAGCTGGCTGGTCGCATGGAGCAGTTTTCCTTTGGAAGAACCCATTTCTCCTCAGTGGTCTCCTGGGGTGGACAGTCTGAGACCGGCTCTGCTTTGATGGGTGAGGGCACACTCCTCCCCTCACTGAGCTGGGGCCGCTAAGCATGAATTTACCACCCCACCCCCCAGGTGGAGGCAGGCAGTGGGATGGTGTGGGCAGTGGCCTTGTACGGAGCTAGCTGCTGAGGTCCCTGGGGACCTGAGCACCAAACACCGGAAGCTGTAGAACTTCATCCATCTGCACCAGCCAGACCTGTCTGACCTGTCCCTGGCAGCCTGGGCTGCAGGCCAGAGAAGCAAGCTGCCCTCTGCCCTGGTGAGCCCCAATCTGGGGGCCTGAGGAGCAGGGTCAACCACCCCTTAGAAATAGTCATTTGCACAAGCGCTGGGAAGGAGACCTGACTGTGATCTCCTTTTCTTGTTCTAATTCTCTGCCTCTGTTGGTCTGTGCTGGCCTCCCTTACTTCACCTCTGGCTTAATGGTGTAGAGCATGGACCCAGAGTGCCAAGTTCGAGTCCCAGCTCTTCTACCTAGAGAGATTACTTATGCAAATCCTTCCCCTCACTGCCTGGGTGTCCTCAACATGTAAATAACACTGCTCACCTCATAAACTTGTTTAGTTCGTACATACAGCACTCGGAAGAGAGCCTGGGGCAAGCAGGCCTCGAGACTTCCATTCTGTTTTCGGCCTCTATTTCTGTTTTTATTCTCTCTCTTTCCTTCTTTTTTACCAGTTCTGTCACCTTTTAGGTATGTCTCTTGCCTCAGGACGTGCATGGACATGGTCATATGGTCAGTGGCCACTAGAGGACTGCCGGCTTACCGTCTGGCCCATGGTGGGGTAGACTGTCCTTGTAACAGCTTGGGCAGGGACAGCCACATCTTAGCTTCTCAGGGTGGACGTTCAGTTTCCTGCCTCCCGCTCGCCCCGGGAACCCTTTCGTAGAGATGGCTTCCGCATGATCCAAAGCTGGGTCTCTCCCCAGCTGAGAGGCTCTGCTCTGACTGGCTGGCCTGGGGTCTGGGCGGCAGCCTCCAGCAGCTCCAATTCCCTGGCCGGAAGACCCTGTGGGCTCCTACCCTGGGGACACAGCCCACGGCTGGACTGAGCCTGTTCACTCCCCATCTAGAGTCACAGGGCCACTTCTTGGCCATTTTTGTTTTTTTAGATGAATGAAGACAGCTTAGGTTTTACAGCAACATAAATGTGAGTAATGCACAGCCCTTTGCAGCATCCTTCTCCATACAGACAGACCTGGCTCTCGACATAACCCTCGGAGGAACGGCTGTAAAGCGTAACAGTGGACTGGTCCCCACACGAGCGATGGCAGTGACCCGGGAGAGCATTCCGGACCACTGATCGCAGCAGGCCGCCGTCCCTGGCTGCGGCATGTCAAAAACAAGGCTCAGTAGCCATTAGGGACAACGTGGGCTTGATCTACAAGAGACCCTTACCGCCCAGCCGGTGTGGCTCAGTGGTCGAGCTCGACCCATGCACCAAGAGGTCGCCGGTTCAATTCCCAGTCAGGGCACGTGCCCAGATGGTGGGCCAAAACCCCACTGGGGGGCATGCAGGAGGCGGCCAGGATGTTCTCTCTCATCGATGTTTCCATCTCTCTCCCTCTCCCTTCCTCTCTCTGTAAAAATCAATAAAAAGAAAAATAAATAAATAAATAAATAAAATAAAAATATTTAAACACAGTTATTAAAATTTAAAAATGTTTGCTAAATATCATTGGGATTTGTACCAGGATTTGGGAACACATGGTTTTGGTCTAATTTCCTGCCCCAGACGGGGACACTGAGACGGAGAGAGGGGAAGGGAGGGTCTCAGGAAGGTCACACATGGACACTCTAGACCTCCTGATCCCAGCTCAGAGTTCCTTCCCCCGGGGTTACACTGGCCCACTGCTGCCATCCTGAAAAACAGGAAGAGAGGGAGCACAGCAAAAGTGGCTTCTGTCACCCTCTTGCCAGTTACAATGAACAATATTCATCTAAATAGGGACCACTGCTTTTGTCCCTTAGGTGTTAAAGGGTTTCCCTGGAGGATGAATTAATTGGTCAGTGTCTTTGACAAAAGCTAAAGTGGGAATTATTTTTTCTTGGGATGTATTTTCTTGTACCAGGCCAGGATAACCAGGTTTCTCCCAAAACCAGTGAGGACCAGCAGAGGCCAGCTGCAGACTTGGGGAGGAGGGGACAGAATGCATGGGACAGACCCTTGCAACCTGCAGGACGACGGTCTCTCACACAGCACCTGGGCTGTGGGGACCTTGTGCAGCTGGTCCCCGCCGGGTCCCACTGTGAGCACCGTGGTGGGGAAGAACCCTGCTTCCCCAGCTCTGTGCTCAGGGGACCAGCCGGGGAGGAGAAGCACCAGCTCTGTGCTCGGAGGACCAGCCGGGAAGCAGAAGCACCAGCTCTGTGCTCGGAGGACCAGCCGGGGAGCAGAAGCACCAGCTCTGTGCTCGGAGGACCAGGCAGAGGAGAAGCACCAGCTCTGTGCTCAGGGGACCAGCCGGGGAGGAGAAGCACCAGCTCTGTGCTCAGAGGACCAGGCAGGGGAGGAGAAGGACCAGCTCTGTGCTCGGAAGGCCAGGCAGGGGAGGAGAAGGACCAGTTCTGTGCTCAGAGGACCAGGCAGGGGAGGAGAAGGACCAGCTCTGTGCTCAGAGGACCAGGCAGGGGAGGAGAAGCACCAGCTCTGTGCTCAGAGGACCAGCCGGGGAGGAGAAGCACCAGCTCTGTGCTCAGAGGACCAGCCGGGGAGGAGAAGCACCAGCTCTGTGCTCGGAGGACCAGGCAGGGGAGGAGAAGCACCAGCTCTGTGCTCAGAGGACCAGCCGGGGAGGAGAAGCACCAGCTCTGTGCTCAGAGGACCAGGCAGAGGAGGAGAAGCACCAGCTCTGTGCTCAGGGGACCAGCCGGGGAGGAGAAGCACCAGCTCTGTGCTCAGAGGACCAGGCAGAGGAGGAGAAGCACCAGCTCTGTGCTCAGGGGATCAGCCGGGGAGCAGAAGCACCAGCTCTGTGCTCAGAGGACCAGGCAGGGGAGCAGAAGCACCAGCTCTGTGCTCAGAGGACCAGGCAGGGGAGGAGAAGCACCAGCTCTGTGCTCAGAGGACCAGCCGGGGAGGAGAAGCACCAGCTCTGTGCTCAGAGGACCAGGCAGAGGAGGAGAAGCACCAGCTCTGTGCTCAGGGGACCAGCCGGGGAGGAGAAGCACCAGCTCTGTGCTCAGAGGACCAGGCAGAGGAGGAGAAGCACCAGCTCTGTGCTCAGGGGACCAGCCGGGGAGCAGAAGCACCAGCTCTGTGCTCAGAGGACCAGGCAGGGGAGCAGAAGCACCAGCTCTGTGCTCAGGGGACCAGCCGGGGAGGAGAAGCACCAGCTCTGTGCTAGGAGGACCAGGCAGGGGAGGAGAAGCACCAGCTCTGTGCTCAGAGGACCAGGCAGGGGAGGAGAAGCACCAGCTCTGTGCTCAGAGGACCAGCCGGGGAGGAGAAGCACCAGCTCTGTGCTCGGAGGACCAGGCAGGGGAGGAGAAGCACCAGCTCTGTGCTCAGAGGACCAGCCGGGGAGGAGAAGCACCAGCTCTGTGCTCGGAGGACCAGGCAGGGGAGGAGAAGCACCAGCTCTGTGCTCAGGGGACCAGCCGGGGAGGAGAAGCACCAGCTCTGTGCTCAGAGGACCAGCCGGGGAGGAGAAGCACCAGCTCTGTGCTCAGAGGACCAGGCAGAGGAGGAGAAGCACCAGCTCTGTGCTCAGGGGACCAGCCGGGGAGGAGAAGCACCAGCTCTGTGCTCAGAGGACCAGCCGGGGAGGAGAAGCACCAGCTCTGTGCTCAGAGGACCAGGCAGGGGAGGAGAAGGACCAGCTCTGTGCTCAGGGGACCAGCCGGGGAGGAGAAGCACCAGCTCTGTGCTCAGAGGACCAGCCGGGGAGGAGAAGCACCAGCTCTGTGCTCGGAGGACCAGGCAGGGGAGGAGAAGCACCAGCTCTGTGCTCAGAGGACCAGGCAGAGGAGGAGAAGCACCAGCTCTGTGCTCAGGGGACCAGCCGGGGAGCAGAAGCACCAGCTCTGTGCTCGGAGGACCAGGCAGGGGAGGAGAAGCACCAGCTCTGTGCTCGGAGGACCAGGCAGGGGAGCAGAAGCACCAGCTCTGTGCTCGGAGGACCAGGCAGAGGAGAAGCACCAGCTCTGTGCTCAGGGGACCAGCCGGGGAGGAGAAGCACCAGCTCTGTGCTCAGAGGACCAGGCAGGGGAGGAGAAGGACCAGCTCTGTGCTCGGAAGGCCAGGCAGGGGAGGAGAAGGACCAGCTCTGTGCTCAGAGGACCAGGCAGGGGAGGAGAAGGACCAGCTCTGTGCTCAGAGGACCAGGCAGGGGAGGAGAAGCACCAGCTCTGTGCTCAGAGGACCAGGCAGGGGAGCAGAAGCACCAGCTCTGTGCTCGGAGGACCAGGCAGGGGAGCAGAAGCACCAGCTCTGTGCTCGGAGGACCAGGCAGGGGAGCAGAAGCACCAGCTCTGTGCTCGGAGGACCAGGCAGGGGAGGAGAAGGACCAGCTCTATGCTCAGAGGACCAGCCAGGGGAGGAGAAGCACCAGCTCTGTGCTCAGAGGACCAGCCAGGGGAGGAGAAGCGCTGACGGGGCTAACGTAACATTATTAAAGTAGCTGTAGGGAATTTTTAAACCACCTCTTTGTCCCCCTCTGTCCCTCCCCGAGTCTGGGATAAAATGGGGCCCATAGGAAGGTGCCCGGTGAGCCCAGCAGAAGCTAAGCTGCTCGACGTCCTTGTCCCCCAGAGCAAAATACTCCTTATGCCTTAAAAACACAAAGCTCTGGGATGCCCCTCAGACCAGAGGAGGCACGGTTCGAATAAATCACAC